ACCAAAACAAGGAAGAACTTAGCATCTGTATATTCTTTGTATATGTAATGTACATAAAATTGTTTGTGTTTGATATAAATTATTTTTCGAAAAATGAGTTCACCAATTTAAAGAAAGTTTTTTTTTTTTTAAAGAAAAAACATGAAACTAGTTATCATTTTTGTGTAAAATTTAACATGTTTATCTATTATAAAAAATCTGTGTTTATAGGAGGGAGTGTAGCATTTTTTAAAAGTGCTTATGTTTATTTGCATTTTTTAAAAGCCCTTAAAGATGCTTTTTTTTATTCGTTGTTCGTAAAAAGGGCTTAATTTTCTATCTTTTAAAATGAGATTTTTTTTCTTTGCTGTGTTGATTGTCGTTCTAAATTATAAAAAATACATGATTTTTCACAATTTCTCTTCGATATTTATCAGAAATCAGAAATTTATTTTATCATGTTTATGTGAAGTTTTTGGAGAAAAAAAAATTATTTTATGTTTTTAAATTTAGAACTTTAAACAATAAAATAATGTTATTTAATTTTAATAGACAATTATTTTATTTTTAATGAACGAAAGTAATTTTTATTACTGCACAGATCCTAAATTTTTTTTTTTTTTTGGAGGGGGGAGTGATTTAAAAAAAAATTTGAGTGCTTTAAAAGGTGCTTATTTTTTGTTGAAAAGTCTGGCTACACACCTTGTATATGGGTGATTCTCACGAAATATGACAATTTACTGTCCCTTGCTCCAAGATCTAATACTATAATACTAAAAGAACTTTTTTTTTAAAAAAATAATAAATAGCATTGCTGTTAGCATTTTAAAATGACTTTGCACTAGCATTGACTGTTTTGTATAGTTAAAAAATTTAATTGAACTTCAAAATGTCATTTTCCTGGCATGTCCCAAACAATGTTTCCAATAATAACTAGCCTCAAAACTTCCTACAAATTTTTCAATATCTATTTTTTTTATCTCAACCGATGTAAGCATTTCTAGAATATACGCAGAGGGTATTATTTACATTTAATTAATTTTTTCTGTCAATAATTTGTTTGTCCCAAGAAAATCTGTCATTTTCCTGGCTACTTTTATTTAGTGGTTTATAACCAAAATAGATAGAGCCAGCAATCAATATCTTGTGTTAATAGATGGATTAGATGCCCTCCTATATGAACATATCTTGTTGCATGAATAAAGAACCAATTTTCTGGTTCAAAATCTATTTCAAAAACTCTTTCAAGGTGAGTAGGTTTTTGTTGTCATTTCCCCGGCTTCTTGAAACCATTAATAACATAAACTACATAGATTTATCTCAGTTATTTTAAGAAATCCTGTTGTTTTCTACAGAATATAAACGTCATAGGCCAAAATATTTAATTAAAGTAAAGTTATACTCTATAAAATGGCGAATTTGTCATTATCCTGGCTGTCATTTTCCTGGTTTATGAATGCCAGGATATTGAAGTGTTACCAGAAATTTTTTTAACTGCTAATACTGTAAGGAGGGAAAGCAAATATTAACCTAATACCAAGTTAATGTATAATTGTAATATGCTTGGATGTAATCAAAGTTATTTATTTATTGATTGATTATTATACATAATTTTATTCTGTACATATCAGCAGCAAAAAATTTTTTAATTCTTTCTACAGTGGATAAAAAGAATTAATTTAAGCAATTTATGGTCCATCTAACATAAAGGCTTTAGTTGAGTTACTTACTATTAACTTAAAATGACTGTTTTTTAAACTTCTAAGCTAATATGTCATTTTCCTGGCATGCAAGATTCGGTGAATTTCTATTCTATTTCTTTTTCCTGAGCAAATATCAATAAACTACACTGCTGTCTATAAGATATTAATAAGTGTAACTAAAGAAGCATACAAAAAAAAATGTCAGATTATTTTGACGACTTTAAATTTGAAGAAATGGTTTGGTCCGAATTGTCATATTTCGTGAGAATCACCCATATGTTTATATTTTTTTTCTTGGAAAATGGAAGTTATTTTCTAAGTTGAGTGGCATTAGAATACCTTCTTTTATGTATTCAGTTTCTTTATCATCAGAACTTTTCTTTAAATTTGTTAATCAACATAATCTATAATCAAAACTGCTTTTCACAACATGCAAAATTACGGCTTAATCCCAGTGATTTGGTGATGTTTGGGAGGATGATAAAGTTTGCAATCTATAGTTGTAGATTCAGTGGGTTATTGTTTGTTTAACAAGTATAGTTAGTGAAAAATCTGGATTTTTCACTAACCGCGATCCCGAAGTTTCTGGAAATCATTAATCACATTTATGTGTAGAAATTCTTGTATATTTTATTTAAAAATATTAGAACTAGAATTTATACTTGGCATCTCTTTCATTTGTAAATATTTTTGTCGGGTAGAATAATAAATTAAATTAGAGAAAAAGGTAAACTTATACATAATCATTCATTTAAATTATGCTGCATTTATGTACATAATTTTTTTAGAATTTCATGTTTTGAAAATATCACTGATTTAAATTTATGAAGACATAATTTTTTGAAATTTGTCATTAATGATTATTAAACTGTGAATATGGTTATATATGAGAAAAATTTAAAGCAAGAAATTTTTAGGTAAAGAGTATTCTTCATAAATTATTAAAAATGCAGCAAAAGTTTTAAAAGAAATAATTAAAATAGATGTTAGACAAATTTACTTTGAACTTCATTAGCCACTTATTGTTACCATCAATTTTAAAATTTGTTTAATTTCAGTTTGTTGCAAGATTTGTTTTTATATTTTGCCCTAAAATTGCATTCTTACTTGACTTTTTTTTTTTATCCCAAAATCAAATTTCCTGACAATTTCAGGTTTCCCTAAGCTTATGGAAATACTCAAATAAAATACTTGACAGGATATTAAATATGTAGATATATATTTGAAGAAACCTTTTTTTTTTCTTGATAAGTTCTTATAGCACACATTTAGTCATTATCCCCAGAAAAGTGAAGAGTTCTTCAATTACATTAGTAACAAATTATGGCTTTTAAAATAGATTTAAAATTTACTATACATGCATAAAAATAATTTATTGTTGTGTTTGGTTTTAATGGGAAACATGCAATTTTATAAAGCAGTAGTTCCCAAAAACTATTTTGCAGAACAGTCCTGAGGATTCAGAGTGTTAGACCTAACATCAGTAAATAGTTTATAGATTCACACTGAGGTGAACTAAGTTCGAATCGCAGTGATGGCTGGTCAATACGAATTCTGCATCCACCTTACACCAACCACAGTGCTGATATAAAATATCCTCAGTAGTAGATGGATCATGGGTTAAGAGTTCTCAGTTGTTGGGCTAACTGAGGGAGGTTTTTCATAGTTTTCCTCTCAAGTCTTTCACTAAAGCAAATTTCTCCCAATACTTGATCCAGGAGTTCCCTTGTCTTCTAGATTGGGTTCATAATTACTAAGCTACGAAGTTGTAGTCAGTTTCTTCTTCTATAGCTTTTATTTGCAGCCTTTAATGATCAAAACAAATCTCATTTACAATGAACAATAATTACAGCATCTTTTAAATTTTTTTTATTTTCGATCCTAACTTACTGGAAATTCTGTCCTGATACTGAATATCTAATTGGGTTTTTTCCCCCTCTAAAGTTTATTTATTAAACATGCAATCAAAAACAATCCCCTGATTTTATTTAATTGCTCTATTTTAATGCTCTTTTGGTTTTGATATCGTATGAACATCCTTTGTATATTATTTGCATTTTTTAAAAGCCCTTAAAGGTGCTTATTTTATTCGGGGTTTGTAAAAAGTGCCTAATTTTCTGTCTTTTAATAAGAGATTTTCCCTATACCGTGTCGATTGTTCTAAATTACAAAAATGCGGGGTTTTCACAATTTTGCAATATTTATCAGAAACTAGTTAATTCATCACGATTATGTGAAGTTTGTGAAAATATTTTTGAATTTTATTTATTCTATGTTAATAAATTAAGAACTTTAAACGATAGAAATTTTTTTTTATTACTGCACAGATCCTAATTATGAATTTTTTTTTTGGAAAGTGCTTAAAAAAGAGTACTTAAAAGGTGCTTATTTTTTGTTGAAAAATCTGACTACGCACCCTTTGAGTATTATATGATAACTAGGGAAAAGTGCGCTTTATCTTTTTCTCTCTCATTAATCTGAAGTTGAGTATCAAATTTTAATTCATATATTCATAACAAAGATTCATCAACTATCAAAGAACCCAAAAGAAAGTTGCTTCCCAAATAAAGAAACTGAAGATGAACGAATAATTTGGATCTTATTCCAAGTAGCTGCAATGTACTATTTTTAAAAACGAAAAGTTCATGCAAATGACAAGTTGATGATAAAAAAAATTTCAGTCTTGTCCAGAGTAAAGTTTAGTGGGGGTATGCTGGTTTGTCAGCATAATATCTAAAAATTCAATTTAAAATTGTTTGCAGATTAAAAAATACGTAAAATAGTTATTGATTATTTTAAATATGTGCTCTGAAGCAAAAATTTTAAAACCACAATTTTTTTCTCCCTAGGCAACCATGAACCAGACCCCCCAGGTATTCAACAGAATGGAAGCATCCAATCACAGGAGGTTTACAATCCTGCATAGANTTGAGCTGTAATATATTGGTACATAAACTTTTCTGAAGCTGCCCAGATAAGCATGGAATAATATAGAATCTAATTTTTTGACATAATGATCTAGATTTTAATTTGAGATATTAAAAATTGTACATATTTCAAATTCAATTTCTTTAGCTCATAAATAAGATTCCATATTTTTTCTTTATTTATCTCTTAGGCAAATCCTACTTCGCAGTTCTTCATCTTTTGCGGAAGGTTCTGATCCCCATTAACTGCGAAAAACGAGGGATCACTAATATCTTTCTGCAAGATACTTATACCTAATACTAGCAAACATATACATAACAAATATATATATATACAAAATATATGTTAAAATAACAAAAATGCTGTGTTTGCAAAAAATAAAATTCTTAATTGAACATGTAATAATTTTTTATTTTAATATTATGGGTGATATTCTCACATTTTGTTGGGAGGAAAATACACATATTATTTACTTCTTCACATTTTGTAAATAATCATCACAATAAAAAAAAATATTAAATATCATGAAACATGTAGTAGTAATTGCTGAAAAAAAGATTATCATGTAAATCGGACTCCTCAAACGCGTGTTTTGTGATTAGATTGTTGTTATAAATAATATCGGATTTAAACACTATGGAGAAATCAATAACAAAAATTCCATAGAATTATTGCCTTAAATAAATACTTAAATGCACGATTCGAATTTTCCATCTTGTTTGAAATATATTGGGATGTTTAAAAACCATGTGAAAATCATAAACTGCCGAGAATACAATCGAGACATTGTATCGATTTACAATACTATCAGTGTAAATTGAGCGTGTCAAAATGCATGATTCAAATATTACAAAAATTTCTGTAAAAAAAATAATAAATAAACATTTTTTAGTCTTCAAAAGAAAAATCTTTCTGCAAGAACTCTGTAAAGTTCTGCGACAATGTCACTGCGATTCTGCCACGGGGCTGAAGAATATATTGTAACATTCAAATAAATAAAACAAACTTTGCTAAAATATTTTTAAATACTGTTTTTAATAGTATTATGTTTCATAAAAAACTACAAATATGAATAAACAATTAATAATTTTTTTTTTCAAGAAATACATCCCTTTTTAAGTGCGTCTTGCGAAATGATTCTTTTCATTCCTGAGAAAGTCCATCACAGCCACCGGATCTTCTAACTTTGCGTGCCTTTTGACTTCATTCCGAAGGACGCGCATAAAAGGATTCAAAAGTTTCTCATCTCCGATAGTTGAGGGAACAGTGGGTTCACCTGCAGCCTTCTTCGTCTTCGCCCATTCTAGCCTTTTTTCAATGACTTCATTTTCGGGTTCAACGTGATGTGCGTACAAAAGATTGTTTGCAGTGTACTCGTGACCGCAGTAGACCATCGTTTGATCGGGCAGTGCACCGAGGATGACAACGAGCGCTTCGTACATTTGATCGGCAGTACCTTCGAAGAATTTTCCGCAACCGGCATAAAACAACGTGTCTCCGGTAAAAACAGCTGGATCCCCTCCTGATGGGTCTTCTACAAAATAACAGACATGCCCTCTGGTGTGACACGGCGTTAGCAGACATTTCACGTTTAAGTTTCCGATTTTAAATTCGTCGCCGTGAGAGACTTTGTCAGTTAATCCATCGATATTAGCATCGCCGCCAAGGACTTGCAAACCTTTTTTCTGTTTCACTAATTCCGCATTTCCACCCGCGTGATCCCAGTGATGGTGAGTAGTGAGCACCGTCGTGAGATCCACTTTGGCATCGTCTGCTGCCTTCAACACTTTATTGGGCTCCACAGGGTCGACAATAGCTGCCTTTCCAGTACTTTCATCAATTATTAAGTACATATAATTGTCATCAAGAGCTCCTAAAATAGATACTTTCATGTTGATAAGGATATATGATTTTATTTTTAAAATATAGAGCAAATAATAAGCGTAAATGATAAGAAAACAGTCCTAATAATTTCAATACCGAGCAGACGATATAAAGATAACAAACAAAAGGGAGCCCAGTTACAGTTTAATCGTGATAGCTTTCAACTTTTTAATTCTGCTTCATAAGAGCTTTTATAAATATCAATAATGTGAGTTTTTTCTTTTTTAAGACTCTTCACTCCGATTTAGTTTAATTTAAAGCACTGAAAAATTTAATCACTTTAAGCAAATCATAAAACAAATTTATTCATTTATTATTATTTTTTTAATGGCAGGAACTTGTGGCACTCTTCTCGTTACCCCGGTGGTGGAGTAGTGTCGCCCACATAACACAACCACAAACCCGTTTATAGGGCTACATTCACACAAAAGACTGAAAGAAGCATCCATGCCAGGATTCGAACCTGCGGCCATTGGCTCCTCAGTCAGACACGCTAACCACTCGGCCACCTGAAACAAATTTATTAATAATCTTATTTTTGTTCCCATAGCAACTGATTTGAAGTTAATATCTTTGAACTGAATGAACTTTAAGATCGGATTCGGTTGTAATATACTATTCAAACAACTATTTAAAGAAACATTTAAAAACGAAGTTTTATTCAACCGATTCGATTCTACTGATTTTATCTTCTCAATAAAACAAAACTGTACATGAGAAACAACTAACAAATAATTGATTTCAGTTAGTTCAGGCCTCAGGTGTTTTAAATGCAAACCTCTCTTTTGTTATTAATAATTGTATTTTCATTTTAGATGTAAAGTTTGGTTTGCTTTAATATTCTAAAAATAATATGCCGGTAAGCAAATATCTTGATTCTTGTCTATGTATCTAATTTTTAATTCCTCCTGCGTAAAAATTGGTTTTCATTGAAATCCAGTTTTCAGAAATATCCTCCAGATATATTATAAAAGTAATGTGTGGTTCATATTTTTATAGGTTGAAGCTCCAGAAGCTGAAAATATCAGAGTTGTTGTACGATGTCGTCCTATGAATGAAAATGAAAAAAATAGCCATTTCAAAAATATTGTTGAGGTAAGATATATTTACTCATTTTTATTATTTTTGTGGAAGGTGTTTGTAGTGTATCTACCACAACAAAAACATAATTACAATTCACTAATATATAAGGCAAACTCTATTCTTCTCATTTTTTTTTAACCTGAAACCAGGACAACATGAAAAATTTTATAATTCTTAATTAATTTTATAATTCTTTATGAAAAATTCACCCAACAGCCAACCTGTATACCTAAATAAATAAAAAACTTTTAGATACCAAAAAATGTTGTGTTTATTTAAACGCAAGAAATGTGAAAACTAAAATATGATTTTACAATATAAAAATAAAACATAACATGATAAGCCATACCTAATATAATAACATAATAAAACACAAGGAGTTATTTAATTTAATTTGTTTTTTTATATTTTTCTGAGGAATGAATTGCTTTTAACAAATTTTTGTTTTCCTGTATATTTTCATAGAATTCCATACAGGTTGCATTTAAATTATTTTTGAGAATCAACAAAGATTTCAAAGTTTCCACTTTCAATTGGGTTTCTCGCTAGTCCATATGTTGTTTAATAAAGAAAAAACCTGCTCGGTCGGTGCATTAGTTCCTGGCATACAGAGGCAATACTCTACCAATTTGCGGTGCATTAGTTCCTGGCATACAGAGGCAATACTCTACCAATTTGCCAATATTATTGGACACATCGTTTTCTTTAAAGGCTTTATAACAATGTCAATCCACCTATCTGATACCGAAACACAATTTTGTTTCCAATGCCCAAGTTTCTCATCTGTGGTGTAGTGCTGAATGAAACAGATTTCATCAAAGAGCTCATCTTCAATTAAATTTATTTCCGGATAATGTTGAATTAAATAGTCACTGCATACTTGAACCATTTGATGCGTAGGTCTCATGTCTAATGTAATTCAATTAAACTTCTCGATTCCCTCAAAATGGCCTTCCCATTCTTCCAGATACTGAAAATATGTGCTGTAAAATTCCACCACTTTTTCTTTGAAAATATTCGATTTAACTAAGCCGTTTTCTTCTAACCTTTTTAAATTTTGTCAAACTTGCAGAGGCAGAAACACACTTGCTATCCTGTCAGCAATTTTGGTTTTAAGGTCCTTATAAATGATATTTGTTTTCAACATAGAAATATCCTGTCCTTCTATCTTTAAAATAGTGTTATGAAACATTGACGACACATTATGGAGAAAGAAAAGCCAAGATTCGGTTTCAGGATTCTCAAAATAATTTTTAGTAATTGTCGGAGTTTTTTCATTTGACGCAAAATACGATTTTGATGCAGGAAATATTTCCAACACGCTTTTAATGTCTGGTCGTAACGCTAACCACCGCGTAGCACTGTAACCCAAAAGTTTTTTTATATTCTATGTCTACAAAATTCTTTTAATTCACTGAGGCGCACAGTATAAATGTAAAAGTAAGACTAAATCTTGGTAATTGCAGTTTGTATATCAATTGGAACGCAGTCCGCCGCGGTTTGTAGGTTGTTTAAAATATGCGCTGAGCACAACCAATTCCCACGAGCTCCCGTCCTTCCAAAGTAGATTTTAGCTTGGTAAAAATATTATTTTTCCCCGCTCTTCGCATGCCTCCTAAGTTAGTGTTGGTGTTGTCTGCACAAAACCCAAATATCTTGCTTTCTAAATTATGTTTTTTTAAGACCTCTACAATATATACAAAATAATATGGCACTTTTTCCACTATTTGCAATAGAAAACGTACTTCTACATTTTTCACAATATACTTCACTAGAATCAATATTATTACTTTCTTTCTAATTTTATTATTTTTATTTTATTACTTTTTTTGTTTTAATGTTTTCTAATCTGAAACCAGTACTTTTCGTGTACTGGTTTTGTTTAATGACTAACCAGGACTTATGCCCTGAAAACCAGTACTGTACTGGTAAAATCAGTACGAATGGTCACCTTGATGCTGGAGTACCTTTTCATAGAGGAAGGTTGACATGGTCGATGAATATATCTCTACATTGGTGACTCGGACGTGACATGAACACGCTTACCTTGACAGAAACTCCCACTTCGATTTGAACACGCCTACTTCGATGGGCTGTTCACATGGAAAAGTTGACTTGCTACTTGTGACTGCAACATTATCCACCTCCTTGAGCTGTTGCTACTCAATCTCGATCACACAACGTTGGCTTGCATACACTCGACTGCTAATGGCAACACATGAGCAACCACGACTGTGAACTTAAAACAGCTCTCACGATCAGCAAAAGCACGGTGATCTTAGTACAGCTCTCCCAGCCACTCACAAAACAGCATTTAATCAACTAATGGTATCCGTCATCGAATTCTATCACAGCTATAATTCTGGTGGGGTAATACTGTAGCTTATCTACCACTACCATAATACAATTCCAATTCACTAGCATATAAGACATGTTAACTTGATTCTATGTTGGGGTATCTTTTCATAGACAAGATTGTTGATGAATATATCCCCACAGGGGGGTTCTGTTTCTCGCATTTGCGTCAAAGGGGAAGACTTCTGTGTTGTGAAGAATAATTGCCTAGTCTTGGCTATAAACAGAGAAATACAGATTGTCTCTGACCATCCAAATTGCTCCATTGCTCATGGGCAATTTTGCCATAGAGCTTGAATATAGGTGACATCATTGATGGTTGATTTATGTAAACTAACTACAATGTCTTATTTCTGTTCCTAGAGCGAAAGCACTGTATCTTCACTGGTCCTGATCGAGAAAAGTGATAAAACTTGTTTCAATAAGGGAAATCTTAGCAAAGGTCACAATGAGGAATATATTTTCATTAGGTGCAATAATTTAAATGAGAGATGTTGTTTTTATATTTGTATTAAAATTAAATTATGCCATTATTATTGTTTTCCAATTTGTTTTTTCGAAAATAATGAAGTGAAATAACAGTTTTCAAAGTCTTAAGTTAGAAATTAGTGTTGAGTATTTCCATCTTAACTATATAGTTGAAACTTTCCATTTTCAGCTGGTGTTATAGTAATCCAAAGGGGTGCATGTACGCAATTTATATTTCTCTGTTTATAACGGCCAAAACCTGTTTAACACTTATAGTTCTTGTTCACAATTTACAAACAATTGCATTGGCATTCTTAATTCATGACCAATAAAAATAAATTTATGAAAGAAATTGTAGCATGCATCTGTAAATTGTTTTAATTTATTTTTTAGAAAATAGTGAATTTTTTACCTCTCACTCTCATTTTTGTTTTGCTTGTAAGTTTTAAATAATTAACCCAAATTATAAAATATTGAATTACATATTTTCATGCCCTTTAACAACTGAAGAATATCCATTGTTTCTGAAAATATTTTTGCAAATAATTAACCCAAATTATAAAATATTGAATTACATATTTTCATGCCCTTTAACAACTGAAGAATGTCCATTGTTTCTGAAAACATTTTTGCTAAGATAATGTATTAGTTCTTTAATAAATTAGATTTAAAGGAATTTTGTTCACCAGATCATATAAAGTATAAAATGTCAACTTGACAAATCTTCATAAGTTTTGATATGTCTTTTAAAAAAATTTCTATTTGTTTCAAAATTTTTGCTTTACTTCACTGCCACTTGAAAAATTATTTTGCCAAAATCTCAATTGTTAGAGAATAAAGTGCTTTTAAACTATACGAATCTTTAATTTTCACGATACACATTTTCATCTACAAATATTTTAAAGATGTGAAAGTTATTTTTATTGTTTTTATTCAGGTGAAACCAGTTGAAGGTACTGTGACTTTGTCACATCCACATGCATCTGAGTATGACCCTCCTAAAACGTTTACATTTGATACTGTTTTTGGGACGGATTCCACTCAACTGGATGTCTACAATTTAGCTGCTCGTCCCATTGTTGATAATGTTTTAGAAGGCTATAATGGTAATCTTATTAATTTTAAACTAAATCTGATTTCCAGGGTTTGTATGGGCGTCGGAATTCTTTAAAAAGTTCATAAAACTGCGTAAAAGAGCAAAGCATTCACACATCAGTGAACTGCTCACCAAAAAGATCAAGGTACTTAAAGCTTCATACTTTCAATACCAGTTGTATGATAGTAGCAATGTTGTCAGCATTATTCACCAGTCATATTTACTTTCCAGAAAAGCTGGGTAGGTTTCAAGCCACTGATAAAACCTTGATCTTTTCAATGATAGCACAGTGCTTTAACTACTGTGTCATTTTGGTTCAACATTAGTTTCTGAAATTCTTAAAGTGTCTCGATTTCTGACATCCTATTGGAAAATTGTTACCTGTGATTGCGGAAACAAGGATAAAATTTTAACTTTTCTAATATCGTTGATAACAAAAACTTGATTTGGGAAATTTTTTTAATATTTTAAATTAAAAAATAGAAGTTAGTTCCTTAAAACTTCGAAAAGGTTGGGAATTTGAGAAATTTTTTAGAAGCATTTATTACTCATTATTTAATAAGTATAAATACAATTGAGAGTTTTTTAAAGAAAAGATTTTCTAAATCTTTTCATTTTGCCTTTTTAAATTCTCCTTCACTGTGAAGTTAAATATTGAACATTAATTAATTGAAATTGTTTCAAAAGTCTTAAAAATTATACTTTGTAATATTCTAAATAAATACCCTGACCAAAATTTTAATATTTAAAGTGTGTCCTGCAGGTAAGTCCTGTACCAAAAGCAATTTTGTTATTTGCAATATTGTTCTACTTCTAAATAGGAAAAAAAGAAATTAAAAAAAAAACTTAGCTACATACTATTTCTCAGCCCGATTTACTTGAAGGTTTTGTAAAATATTTCAGTGTTTTATTGCAAACTTGTGGCACTTAAACAATTTTTTGACCAATTTGTTTCTGATTATTCACATACTCTGCTAAATGGAAAATATTTTGAGTGTACACCTAGTAGAATATATGTTTGTGGAAAGTCACGAATAGTATTTTTGTGGGTCGATATGGTGTACAGTGTTTATAAGCTTATTTTCAAAACATTAGAAGCTAGGATATTTTTTATGCACCCTAATATATAGTGAAACATTTTGATGTTCAATGACTGCTTATTTTCACTCTAATCAAAGAATGAAACTAATTTACAATTATAGAAAACAACAAAATAAGAAAGTAACTTTTAAAATAATAAATCAAAATATAAAAGCGCTTCAAGCAGCTAAATCCAAACTTGTCAGTGATTAAACCAAAAACTGACAGTGCCCTGAGATCCGATAATGGAAAAACAAATAAGAAAAATTTTAATGTAAATGCCAAGAAAAATTGATGAAGAACAATCACAATTTAAAAGTACACTGAGTAAAACTTAATAAAGAGATGCCCATAAAGCAAATGAAGATAAAGTTACAGTTAGAATAGCCTCATCAAAATAAAATATTAATTGCCAAATCATTAAGAACACTTAAGAAATAAATCATGCTGACCCCTTTTTTGTGATTGTTTGTCTATAATTTTTCTTTGCATTTACATTTCAATTTTTCTAATTTGCTTTTCCATTATGGGGCCTCAGGACACTGTCATTTTTCGGTTTCACCACTGACAGCAGAAATGCTCCTGTGTGTTGGCAGGCAGTGTGTCCCCAGATAAAGTGCTGTCCTGCTAACACACATATCTTAAATTGTTGTCGTTTTCTGCTAGAATTGTATTTCTGACTTTTTGCTTATTTTAAATGTAACGAACACATTTGGAATATGTTAGACTTATTCTTACTTTTAAGCTGGATCAGCAGTCTCTAATACATTTTAGTTTCATTTTTTTATAGTCTTTTCTTAAATCTTTATTGCAAAATGTGAAACTATCCACTTTTAATTATTATAGGTACTATCTTTGCATATGGACAAACTGGAACAGGAAAAACTTTCACTATGGAAGGCAATAGGGATATACCTGAACAGAAAGGAATCATTCCAAACTCATTTGCTCACATATTTGGTCACATTGCAAAAGCTGAAGGGGATAAAAGGTATAAAAATACTTTGTTTTATTTAAAAGGACTCATTTTATAAAATTGAAATGCCGTTGGCCTACTTAATGGTTTTGAAATGCTCTATCATGAAATTTTAAAAACTGCATTTTTCAACTAGACTAAAAAGGACAAATAGTTTTAAATTTTTTCGGACATAAAAGAAAAACGGAGGGGGGGGGGCGGATTTGTGCAGTAATGAAAGCTTATTACAAAAAAGAAACATCTTATAGTTTTAGATAAAGCGTGGTGATCATCACTTTTAAAAGACAGAGGATAGGGGGTGAATTTGAACCATTAAGTTGAACCACCGATCTGCACTTAATTATCTTTTTTCTGTATCAACCTAACTAAAATGTAATGCTTTTGTATTTTTATGTAATTAGGTTTCTGGTTCGTGCAACCTATTTAGAAATATATAATGAAGAAGTAAGAGATCTCCTTGGTAAAGATCAAAGTGTTCGTTTAGAGGTAAAAAAAAATTTGTACATTAGTTTTTCTTTTTTTTTTAAATTTCTTTCTGAGTCCACAATTGCGGCCATAGTGAACAAAATCTCTGCAATTATATTGCAAACTGCTAAACATGAAATGTTGCTTTTAAAAATATCGTTCAGATAGTTGAAATTGCGATTAGAAATTAAAGCAAAATGCATGGCAATAGTGCTAAGAATTTTAAGGCCAGTTGGTTTTGTTTGATTGAATTTAGAGCAGTATTTGGGTTTGTTACGTTGTCTAGGTGAGTAAAATGATATGGTGAAATCGATACCATTTCTTGCTTTTAAGTTCTTAAATTTTTTATTTAACCAACTGACTCCTTCGTAGGGTTAATGTATTAATAAAATGAAAATAGTATCAATATTTAATTCTTTATCTTTCTGATTTGATTTTTTTTAGTAAACATAAATTAAACAATTATTTAAAAACTGTACAATTAACTTAGAATGAATGAAGGTTATACATTTAAGTGAATGCTTTTTAATTTCTAAATTATTCCTTCAAAACAGAAAAATAATTTTGCTTGTTTTTTTTTTAATATTATGTTCTGGCTGTAAATATAAGGAATGTTATGGTCTTTTATTCTGGTTTTATGTTTTTGTTTGATTTTTTTTTTTTCGTGAACATAAAACTAAACATTTAGTTATTTAAAAACTGACAAATACTTTGAGTGAATGTTTTTTGAGTTATAAACTTAAATGAATGTTTTTTTTAAGTTCTAAATCTAAATGCATGTTTTTAAGAATATTTTGTGCTGGCTATAAATAGAGTGAATACTATGTTCCTGGTTTTTTATCGTTATCTTCCATTTTGAATTTCACTTACTTTGAACTATTTATTGTTAAAATAGATAGTTTACGCTTTGCAAAACTTCGAATGGGAAATATTTTTTATAAATAAATCATACTGCATAATGAGATCATAATTTTTATCTAAAAATGCAAGTTGTACTTAATATTTTGTTAACCTACAGAGCAAGAGTAACAAGTGTCTTCTGCATTGGAAAAAATTATTCCAAAAGAAATATTGAAACAGTTATAACTATCATCAAGTTTAAATAATATTATCAGTTTTCAAGCTATTCAATATAAAACTTTTAAATGAGTGAAAAATAGAAAGTAACATTGGGAAAAAAATAATCAATTTAATAATTTTTTTTTGAAATTAAAATAATTGTAGTTATTTAATATTTAATTAAATGAGTCTAGTAAGATCTAATTTTTTATTTACATAAAGAACTGTTAAAAATAACACAATCTAATTTTATTAATGCTATAAATTAACAAATTGCATAGTAAACTTATACATTATTGAAAAATACACATTGAATTCCTAATAACTAATTTCTTACTGATTTTTATAAAGTACTAATACTCATTCCGATTTATGATATCGATGTATGGATTTTAAAAATCTTGAACTAAAAAAATTTAACTCATTTTTTTTAAAAGTAAATGTGAAAAACTTTTAATTTACAGATACCATATTTCATTTAGTTTAAATTTAAACTATTTTTTTTAAACCTATTGCTAAACTAATGCATTGGTCATTTTTATCTTCTCTTATTTTGTCCAATTACTTCTGATTTTTTCTTCTTTCTTGCTTTGGAAAAAAAAGATATTAAGTTTTTTTGTTCCTCAACGAAATGCCAAACCTGTTACAGGGTCATTATAAGGTTTTAATCTAAGTTTTTTGATATTGTATCCAGGTGAAAGAAAGACCAGACATAGGAGTGTATGTAAAAAATCTTACAGGAGTGGTAGTTAAAAATGCTGATGATTTGGATCGTATCATGACTTTGGGAAGCAAAAATCGTGAGTGGTTAATTTACACATTTATTATGTATTTCTCTACAATAGGGGTGCACAACCTTTTTGAGTGAAGGGCCACTTGCACAGCAGGTTGGCTAACGAAGGGCCGCAGATGTATTTAAACATGTTAATGACAAATGATGTAGTAATGTTTATTTAAACATTGGCGTTCCATTTTTTTATCAATAAACTTAGTAATATCAATAACTTAGTAGTGTTCCATTCATTCAAAAATAAAAAAACTTATACTTTAAAAAAATAAATAAATAAAAAATGCTATTTTTATCATATGAACGATAGATTTATCAAAATAAATAAACATTGAAGAAAAGAAGTGTTTTTTTTTATCATATCATGCAATACGAAAATTCATTTTAGAATTAAATTCTAATAAATAAAAAAAACTGCAATGTGTACTCAGGAATAAAGTTAGAAACAATTGCATTGCTCATATGGTTACAGCTACAGTGACAGTGTCTCAAAATTTTCAAATAGTCACACCCACTCTTTTAGATCAAACCATAAATCCTTACAGTAATAAACGAAATGAAGTTGGGACAATATTTTTAGCGTAAAAAATTTTGACATTTGGCCTTTGGTAAGTGTCACATTTTTTTTTGTTGCTAATAACCAGAAGAGAGTGTCTTAAAAACCTTTAAAAACAGAGAAGAAATGGCAAGGAATGCCTTTTATGGTTTGAAAATTTTCATCCTGACCGTTCTCTCATTTCTGATTGGTTCGTAATTTTTTCTCAATGAGCCAATAATTTTAAACGGAATGTTTATAAATTATTCGGAAGATTGCAGACAACTTTACATAACAGTTAAATAGTTCCAAGCCTAATGTAAACTGGAATACTATAATACAGCAGCTAGTCTCATGATATTTACACTGGAGTCCATGATTTTATTTTATTTTATAACCATTGTTGAACAGTCCACTCGATTCTGAGTTTACAACTACCAATGTTCAACTCCATAGCCTTGTAATTTAAACCCAATCCAGAAGACAAGGGAACTCCTCTATAAAGTATTGGGAGAAATTTGCCTTCATGAAAGACTTTTTAAAAGAACTGCGGCGACTGAACTTAGCTTAATCGGCCACTATCAGTAACTGTCTCTGTTATTCACTAGAAGAATCCTAACCGCCATTGTAGAATGACGCGCTGCTCTTATTTCATATTTTCTCTTCTTATACTTAATACTTAAAATATTTAATAAATACTAATTAAATGAAAACTCAATCTACTCATCTTCTGGAAACAACCAATCACCACAGTGGTGACAGCCGGACGTTCAAATATTAAGGAAATTATGTTATATTTCGCTTCGGATATCGGAAGTTTCATAAAAACGATACTGTGGCTTTTAAATTTTTCTTTCTTAATTTCTGTCGGAGTGCATACTGTATATTAATTTAATTTCATTATATATATACATTATTACATTTTAATATGCAGTCAACTAATGCTGAAAATACTCACATAGATAAGGTTGCACTTAAATTACCCCCTTTTTGGCGTACAAATATTAAACTTTGGTTTTTACTAGTTGAAAGTGCATTTACTTTATCTAACATAACACGGGATGAAACTAACTACCCAAGTCTTATTGCACATATCGATGCAAAAACGCTATCTCATGTATCAGATTTGTTATTTTCACCCCCTGCGACCAATAAATATGATACTTTAAAAGAACGTCTCATTACCGAATTTTTGGATTCTGAAAATAAACACATTCGAAAACTACTTTCAGAACTTCAATTAGGTGACCAAAAACCCTCTCTTCTCCTACGACAAATGCGAGAAGTTGCTACCGATTCAGTAACTGAGGATTTTATTAAAACAATATGGCTACAAAGTTTACCCCCTAATGTACAATCTATGTTATCAACTTTAACAGATCAAACACTTGTTAAATTGGTTTTACTAGCTGATAAAATACTTGAAACTTCCCCCATCCAGCAAATAAATTCCATTAAACAAACTGAAACCGATCTAATAAATAATTCATTTGTTGCTCTTCAAAATCAAATTTCAGAGCTCAGCTTACAAGTAGCGAAAATGTCTATGCAGCTATACCGGCGCCAATCAAATTCTCATGGCCGTTCAAACTCAAGAACAAGAAATAAATCAGAAGAACGTTCATTTTGTTTTTATTATTTTCGGTTTGAAAAAGATTCGGTAAAATGTAAACAACCTTGTTCTTTTAATTCGGGTATACGATTATGTGCCACATCATCTGTTTTGCCTGCAGATTCTGTGGCTAATAAATTTGACAACAGATTATTCATTTATGATAAAAATACAAACTTAAATTTTCTTTTTTTTCTTTTTTTTTTCTTATTATTATTAAACAAACTTTCTTCTTTCGGGAAGCTCATGTTGCGTTCTGCCTATTTCTATTAGTAAATATAAATATACGCCTAGCAACATAATGCTATATGCCGCGAATAATTCATCCATTAAAACTTACGGAACGAAACATTTAAAATTATCATTTAACTTTTGTCGCTCATTTGGCTGGAATTTTATTCTCGCGGACATCACCTCGCCAATAATTGCCGCTGATTTTTTAACACATTATGCATTACTTGTTGATCTGAAGAATAAACGTCTCATTGATTCAAACACTTCTTTAAAGTCGAACGGCTATTTCGCTAATTCTTCTCAATGCTCAGTTAAAACTATATCTAATAGTATGCCTTTTCAAAATTTATTACAAGAATTCTCGGATTTTACGAACCCCTCGCAAGAAAGAAAATCTATTAAACATTCTACCGTTCATCACATTGAAACAACAGGTTCACCTGTACATTGTGAGCCATGTCGCTTACATCCGAAAGTTTTCGAAGCAGTTAAGCGTGAATTTTTAACAATGTGCGAAAAAGGTCGTCCTTCAAAAAGTCCCTGGTCTTCTCCGTTACATGTTATCAAGAATTCGAATACAAGACCAGCTGGAGATTGTCTACTCTTAAATTCAAAAACCATCCTGTATGGCATTCCCTATTTGCACATGCTCTCCATGGAAAATCAATATTTTCAAAATTAGATATCGTCCGAGCATACTAACTATCATATCCCAGTTAATGAGGCTGATATTCCTAAAACCGCGATAGCCACCCCTTTCGGCTTATTCGAGTTTCCTTTTTTTAAATTTCGGACTCCGTAATGCTGCCCAGACATTTCAACGTTTTATGGATGAAATATTTCGATATCTACCTTTCTGCTATTGGTACTTCGATGATATTTTAGTCTTTAGTAATTCAGAACAAGAGCATATTCAGCATCTTACGGAAGTTTTTAAAAGACTCAGAAATTACGGTCTCACATTAAATGTTTCAAAATGCATACTTGGGGTACCTGAAATTTCGTTTCTAGGGCATTCAGTAAACGATAAAGGCATTACTCCTCTTACTGAACACATAGAAGTAATCGACCGGTTTCAAAAGCCAAATACAATCAAAGAGCTTATGCGATTTTTAGGCTTATTAAATTTTTATCCCAGGCATCTACCTAACGCGGCAGCAATCTAACCCACATTTGCATTACACGGAAAGGAAAACCATGAAAATCTCCAGTGGTTAGCCTGATGGTAAGGGGACAGGAGTCCATGATTCAAGTATTTTGTACTCGTTACAAATGTCATGGAGGTCTACATGTAAGAAAAAGTTTGCTATATAATGCACATTATATCTAAACAGCCATTCAAAACACCAGGGTTGAACTTCTGCTGAGTTGATTGAAAGATTTAATGTTTTGCAGAAACTATCTATATAGAATTTTTCCTTTTTAGATTTTTAGAATAAAATATATTTTGTATTTTGCAGGTGTTGTTGGAGCTACAAATATGAATTTGCACAGCTCACGATCCCATGCCATCTTTAGCATAACGGTTGAAAGCTGTGAAGAAGGATTTGATGGAAAGGAACACATTCGTGCTGGAAAACTTCATTTAGTTGATCTTGCTGTAAGTTCTAAATATTATCCTATATAATGTATAAACCTAGTTAGGCATTAGTTGTTTAGTAGAAGTGCATTATTTCAACATATAGCTGATTTCCTCAGTCATAATTATAAAGCACAAGAAAAAAGCTATCTCTCAGAGCTAGAATCATGAACAGAACACAACTAAACAGCAACATACTCATAAACGTGGCATAGAGCTGAACTATCTACATGTTGCAACACTTTTCATACTTTCACCATTAGTGTGTGAAGAGTCATAGGAGAAGAAAGTATGTTAGTTTCTGAATTGATTTTAGAATAGATTAAAAACTTTTAAGTTAAAAATCTGTATGTACTGAAAACTACATTGAACATAGTTCCAAAAGAAAGTGTCATGGAAATTTTCAAAAATATTTTTGAGAATTAATTATGGAAAGTATTAGGAAAAGGGAAAATGTTGTACATTTGTATACAGACTGGGAGAGGGGGGGTCAAGCCATGGAACCGCTCTTCTCCCCAAATGGCGTATTTGAGCTTTGCCATTGCGAATGGACAAAGGCGATTCTTGGTGAAAGAGAAACACATTGCTATCTCACTTGACGAATAAACAGGTTTTTGATGATTTTAATCTCTATTGCTAATTCCAAACCAGAATTTTAAAGTGTTTTTCTCTTTCACTTAATTACTGAATAGAAATGTCTAATAAGCATAATTTGTTTTACTTCATATTTTTTACAAATATTCAAAAAATATACTGTAAGAGCTGTCACTAGAGAATATTTATGTGCACATTACTGATAAAGTTTTGATTTAATTAATTAGAAAGTAATTTATAAATTATAATTTTATTATAATTATTAATTTTATTTATCTTTTTATATATAATAATAATTATTAAATTTGCATTATATTTTTTTAATTTTCACCCCCTCCCCTTTATTCATTTCCTTTGAAAGAGTTCATAAACACCCCTTTAATTCAAAAATTGTATCAAGGGAAGGTAATCAAGGGAATAAAATGAGAGGTTCTTAATGTGTTTTACAAAGACTGACACAATTAGTAGAAGCCACAGAACTATAACTTAGTTACAGTTGATACAAAGTTATAAGCGGTAATAGTAACAACAAAAGATGTAATTATGCAAACTATTGGATAGATTCTCTTTAATTTATCATTCCATCCCAATATTCAGCTAGTTTATGTCAGTATGTATCAGTGCTGTAATTGGAATAAAGTATTTGGGTGAACTCTCTTTTTATAGGGTGTAGGTCATAGTTTGCTGATTTTTTGGTTGGCCAAAAAGCATGCAGTTTAAATAACTTGGCCAGCTTCTATTTAAAATAAAAGTAAACATTTATTTAAAAAAAAGTTTTTTTCCCTGTTTGCATTGTTTTTATGTTCAATGTATTTATCATCCTATTGATAAAATAATTATATAATATAATAAACTATACGTAGCTGCTAACTCTACCGGATTTATCAGTAGACTACTGCACTTTTCCAGTTACTCCTGGTCTACTAGTTTAATAAAAATTCTCCTGGTTTTTGTACATTCTAGAAAATTCCCTAAAATTGAGTAAGTTTCCTAAAAATAAATCCCTATTAAATTTTTGAACAGATTATTGCTTGCTTGCTTGCTTGAATATTTAAATAAAGTAAGTATTCCTGATACATAATAAAGCAAACCTCATTCATAGAAATCAGTTGAATCGATGAAGAAAAAAAATTTCCCTCAGAGCTAAACAGAATTTTCTTTTTTTGCTTTGTAAGAAAATAAAAAAAAGAAAAAATGAAAAGGAGAAAAAAAAATTTTAAAATCTTTTTCATATATTTTATTTATTTTTTAATATAGCAAATCAAATATTTCTGGGAACGGCATTCCCCCATGTTCCCATCCAACTACAGCATTGGTGTATATATATATACATGATTAAATCATTTGTTCGTGGCATTGGACAAAATTCTTTCACTTGTAATTTATTTAAATATTAATGCATAAACTATGGAAAATGTTTAGTAGTTGGAGGAAATGCCTAAATATTAATATGTTTCTGTGCAATATATTACTTATTTTTAAATTTTGCATTGAAATGTGTATTTGTTACTTCATGTACTATGCTTGTTTCAATAAAATATTTAGTCTGTTATTTCATTTTTAATTAAAAGAACTTATTTTGTATTATTTTTTTGAAGAAAAATAGTAATAAGGATACTTAGATTTCGAAAAATTGATACACAATAGATGATACACAATGACAATTGATACACAATGCTATGCAAAATTTAAATACCTGTTTTCAAATAATGTTCCTTTAAATGTACTTAAGTTTTTCAAGTACAGAAGAAAAGAAAAGGTTTCATAAGAAATCCACAAAATGCAATATTAAAAAAATAGATTTCCGAACATTTCAAATAAATAGGATAGAAAGGTCATTAAAGAAATGTCATTAAATAATTTATTCTAAACATGATATGACTGAATAAACATCAGAACTAGTGGCCAAAGATTGAATTATTTTAGGGAAAAAATGCCAGAAAGGCATATTCATATTCAGCTTTAAAGGTTAAGCTTTTATTTTTTGGGTTCCTTTTATCTGTTATATATCCTTCCAAAAGAGGTGTTTTTATTATTTAAATTTTTAGTGTTTAAGAAGAATCTTTTATTGTTTATTAAAAAAGTTGACAGCTGAATTTTTCCAAATGATAAATCGTCAGTTGTTTAAAAAATAAACCTTTTCAATAAATCATTATATTATCCCAAAACAACTTCCAGATTATATTTCTTTCTACTGTATCTTTATTAATTAGTAATAAATGTGTGAAATATCATTTGAAAAAAATAGAAACTAGTTGTGTGTGCTGAAATGTGCCCATTCTATTCTAGGGTTCTGAGCGGCAAAGTAAGACAGGGTCAAGTGGTCAACGCCTTGTAGAAGCCACCAAAATTAATTTGTCTTTATCCACCCTTGGTAATGTCATTTCAGCATTGGTGGATGGTAAGAGCACCCACATACCATACAGGAATTCTAAGTTAACGAGGCTCTTGCAAGACTCCCTTGGTGGAAATTCTAAAACTTTAATGGTATTTTTTTTATTATTAGCTTTGATCTTGTTCGTATAGTTTTACTTGAAGTTTAGAATTGTACTGTTTGTTTTTTTATATGTAACAGTCGTTGAACAGCCAACCCAATTTAGAGTTTGCGACAACCAATGTTTAACTTCGTAGCCTTGTAATTTTAAACCCAATCCAGAAGACAAGAGAACTCTTGGATCAGGTACTGGGAGAAATTTGCCTTGGTTGAGGACTTTTTGATGGAACTACTAACCGACATTTGCGTTAAATGGAAAGGAAAACCACAAAAACACCCCACAGTTAGTCTAGCGGCAAGGGAACTGTAATCCATGATCTGTCTACCACTGAGGATAGGTTATGTCAGCACCGTGGATGATGTGAGCCAGAAGTGGATTTCGAATAAACTAGTTGTCAAGCAAGGCTGAGGCGTCTCCTTTTTATAGTTTTTTATTTTATAACCGTTGTTGAACAGCCGACCCAATTGTTTGGGTTTACAGCTACAAATGTTCAACTCCGTAGCCTTGTCATTTTGAACCCAATCCTGAAGATAAAGGAATTCCTGAATCAAGTATTGGGAGAAATTTGCCTTTGTACTTTTTGATTGAACTATCCCGCATTTGCACAAACCTGCAATGTTACACGGAGAGGAAAGCCACTCACGGTTAACCTGACGACACGGGGACTCTAACCCATGATCTTTCTACCACTGAGTGCATTTTTCATCAAACACTGTGGTCGGTGCAAGCCGGATGCGGAATTCGTATCGACCAGCCATCGCTGGGATTCGAACCCAGTACACCTCATTGGAAGGTGATCGTTCAATTCCCTGAGCCATCGCTGCTCAGTTAAAAATATTTATAGAAAAAATCAATATTAATTTTTTCCCACCACAACTAAGGCAGATTGTTAAGGTTTAGATAAATTATTAGCCTCTGACAACACTATATTATTTGTTCCAATTATAATTTGTTTTTACTATGGAAACCTAGAACATCATGGAAAGAGATTTGTAAAAAATTTAAGACATCGCTGATTTTAATCTTTTGGTTTTATTAAGTAAATCATATGCTGTATGAATAAATTGTTTTTGTTGTGTAAAAGAAATATGTACGGTATTAAACACAATGTAACCTACACAAATGCATAACAGTATTGACATATTTTAAATATTGCAACATAGTTATGTATCACTTTTAATGTGTTACGCATTAAGTAAATTTAAACAATTCTTAAGTTCATAATATTTCAATTTAAAAAATTGCCTGAAATTAATTTTTATTTACGAAAAAAAAATTATCATTTAATATCAGTAAGAATGTGCACACGATGATTGTAAAAGTAGAAATATTTTCTTAGAATACTACATTTCGAATTTAAACTTAGTTTTTTTTTAACCATCTTTCTGTCCCCCCCCCCAGGGAAGGGTTTATTCGATTAGCAAAGCAATAATGAATATAAACAAATTTGTGAAGGGTCCGATTGAAAGATAAATTATTTTGTGAAGGGTCCGTTTTTATAAGAAGATATTTTGTGAAAGGTCCATTAACTGACCCAAATTTCTTCTAAACAGACCCCTGCCTGTATTTAAAGCAAACTCTGATTTACATGTTCACAATGGTGCTAAACTTATGCGCAAAGAGTGAAATTTAAGTAGACATCATCTTTTAATTGTATAAAAAAGCATACCAAATTTAGCTTAGCTAGCGCAACTCCTTTTTTGTGTTGGGATTTTTTTCCTCCAGTGTATATTCTTTTGTTATTTTCTTATGTTCTTTTTATATAATTATTTTGCAATTTATAGTGTGCTAACATTGGTCCGGCCGGATATAATTATGATGAAAGCTTGAGCACCCTGAGGTATGCGAATAGAGCGAAAAACATCAAAAACAAAGCTCGCATTAATGAGGATCCTAAAGACACCATGCTGAAGAAATTCAAAGATGAAATTGAAGATTTAAAGAAGCAGTTGGAGGATGGTATGTTTATGCTTATCCATTTCTGAAGGCAGCAAAAGCTATTTTTGTTTCTAGAAAGGAATTAATGGTAGTAATAGGCACTACTGGCATTGTAAATTTAGGTATTTAATATATGCTAATGTGGGTACTGCAATATTGTGTGTACTTTTTTATTCTTCTGAATTGGATGAATACCATTATGCTTTTTTGTAAAAAAAATAAATAAATAATTGTTTTAACTGATTAGTAATGATTACATTAATTCTATTCATTGCTACATTTTTATTAATTTGCTTTCAGTTTTGTAAAAATAAAATATTGAAAACAATATTTTGACCAATCTCTTATTAGATAGATCATATCACTCAAGTCTATATCGGAGCTTTGTGCCTGTGTCAAAGAAATTGTATCTTAATTTTATTGCTTAATATAATTTTTTGCTAATTCAAATTATGAGTTCTTTCCATCTAGCTAGAGCACTCAAATTTTAACTTCAGTTCTCCACTAAATATCTGTACCAGTTTAAATTGTAATCTAACTGCTACAGGTAGAATTTGTCATTTAATCACTGAAAAAATTTACCATCAATAAAAATATTGCCCAATTTCTAACTACCTAGAGGAGATCTATTATAATTAAAACTCTGTGCTGTAAGTTTCAATTGTTTTGAAACCGAGATTACTATAATCAAAGGTACTTTATTGTATGTAGGCATAATAAATTAAAAAAAAGTTTTTTTTGGGGATGTATAGTAAAGTAAAAAAGATAAATTAAAAATAATCTATCCAATGGTTTGCATAATCACATCCTTTGTTGTTGCATTTACCACATATAACTTTGTATTAACTGTAGCCAAGTTATAGATCTGTGGCATTTACTAATTGTGTCATTCTTTGCAAAACATATGAGAAACTTCTCATTTTAATGCCTTTATTGTTTATCTGTATACAATTTTTGAGCTAAAGGGCTGTTTATGAATTCTTTCAAATGGAATGAAATTTACATGAACACTTTGAATGCTCCTATTCTGTCAGCTCAAATGACATAATTTTCAAGAAGAAATCAAAGAATCGAAAATTGTGTCAAGTTATTATTATAATAACTGGATTTTTATGTAGGCTTTTTTACTTTGAACAATCCATTTTTTTAAAACATTCACCAGTTAAATTGAGAATTTCATTAAAACTGGGCTCAAAATAGTACCACATTTATTATTTTGTAGTAAATTTAACTCATTTTTGCAGAAGCAAGTGAAGGCGGAACTGAATCAGGTGAAGATGAATCTGATAAAGCTGAAGAAGAACCTAAGCCTAAAACTCATAAGAAAAAGAGTAAGCCTCAACTTTAATTACTCCTTTTTTATGGTTTGTAAATAACATTTTTAAACACCATGTTTGCAGATCACACTAAGACTGTTTCAATAGCAATTATTGTTTTTTTAAAAATTAGTAGAAAAATGATAAATCATAAGTATATATTTCGCATTATTTATTTATTTTTTAATTTAAAAACTAAATTGTATTTGACTTATTTTGCAATTATCATTCAAAATCTGAATTAAAATTTTTGATTTAAACTTTTCAACAACTCTTAAAAACATATGAAATTTTTGATTAATGTTATTGAAAATGCTACAATTTTTGGTTCCACTTACATAGGTTGCTTTTACAATTAGCATTGAAAGTCTAAATGAAAATTTTTGATTTAAACTTTTCAACAACTTTTGAAAACATATGAAATTTATGATTAAAATCATTGGAAATTTTGCCAATTTTGGTTTGCAATTATCATTGAAAATCTTAATTAAAATTATTGATTTAAACTTTTCAATAGCTCTTAAAAACGTATGCAATTTATGATTAAAATCATTGAAAATACTGCCAATTTTGGTTTGCAATTATCATTGAAAATCTAAATTAAAATTATTTATTTAAACTTTTCAATAGCTCTTAAAAACCTATGTAATTTATGATTAAAATCATTTAAATTTCTGCCAATTTTGATTTTCATTTATGTTTTAAAAGCTAATCTTTCAAATAATGTAATATTCTAATCTCCGATTAAGTGTTAGTGTTACAAAATAACTAATCTGTTTTGCAAAACACATTAAATATTAAGATTAAAATATTAGTGTTTTTCAGTAGTAACAAATGAATTTATTAGGGTGCCTGTAAGATTGAAAATATGCCTAGACTGTTTTCTGTATTGAATGTTTCTCCACTAGTATCAGAAGAAGAGGTGAAGAAAATGCAGGAACAGATAGAATTAGACAGAAAAGCTCTTACTGAGCGCAAGGACCTGTTGGAAGAAGAACGTCAAAAGATAAGCCAAGAGTTGGAGAAAAGGCAACATGATTTGGCTAATATTAAGTAAGAAATTGTTTATTACCTTTACCCATGCCTTTAAGTAATTAAAATGAATCCTTTGTATACACAGAAGTTCTTAATTGAAGACATTTGAACTTAAAATCTTTATGATTTTTGATAATTGGTATTTGTTTTTTTAATTAATTGAAACCCATTCTCTGCCGTATCTCGTTAAATTTTAAAAGAGAAGTTTTAAAAGAATATTACAAAATGATAGTATTTTATAATAAAGTGAGTAAGGGGGAGAGAGATTAGTGTAAACTAGAATAATTTTATTATTTAAGATCTTATATTTCTGAAATATAGATTATAACTATAGTGGTCACAGTCAAAATTAGATCATAGTTAGGGCTGCAGGTTTATCGTGGCGCGAATTTCCGTGATGATTTCCGCGAAATTGTCATCTTTTTTTTTAAATCCGCAAATTTCTCAATATGTCTTGACTTGCGCGAAAATTGCTTAAAATGTGATTTTTTATTTCTTCATCTTTTATTTATTATTTTTATTTAACAGAATTTTTTTTTTCTGAACCTTAAATTGAACATGTAAAATTGATTAGATATTTAGGGGAGTGAATCAATAGCAAAATGAGGTGAAAATAGTTCAGAGATAAGAGATAATCAAAATCTTGTCAACTAAGGTGGTCTTTCTACACTTAGGGAGGGTAACTACCTTCCTGAAGTCAGTAAGAGTACAAAAGAAGGAAAATGCTATAAATCAAATCTTTGACAGAAAAATTGTTATACATGCTATTGCACTGGGCAATGAAATTTTTACTGCCTTTCTACATATCCAGTTAAATTTTCCTAGGCGGCTTCTTGTGATTTCTTAAATATGGATCAGTTTCTTAGATGAAGGGGGGGCTAGTAGTTAGTAGGATCTTGTAACTAGTAGTTTGAATGTAGAATGTTTGAGTTTTCACAGCAATTACCTCTTACAAAGCAACGGTCCAGAAATTGCGCGCTGGTGAAGGAAAATTGATCGAGTTTTGGAAATCAAAGACCGAACGCTCCAAAATAGGCAATTTGAAGTTTGTCGCTGCCTAAAAACAGCGTTGAGTCAGAAAAATCGTTTTCTAAGTATAAAAATGTATTAAGTGATGAAAGACGAAGGATAAATGAGAATAATCTGACAATGTACAATACTTTGTACCAAAATTCTGTTCATTTAAATAAAAATATTAATATTGCTTGAAATTCAAAGAAATACTTTTGTTGTGTATTTTTAAGCTTTTTTTATTATTTGCGCAATTTCTGTCTTTTGCATCATTTAT